AGGTCATTCTGCCAATTTTGAGAATCAAAAATGCAATAAAAATTGGTTGGTCAGTGATATTTCCTACAGTATAACCCTTGTTTCAACGGACTATTATTATTATTATTATTATTATTATTATTATGAAAACATATAAAATCCGTTGAAACAAGGGTTAGTATTAGTAATTTCATTTTAAAATTTTAAATGAAATTTTCTTATATGTCCAGCCACTGTTGAAACCCGAGGGTTATACTGTAGTCACACCATAAATAGTAAAATCGGCAATAACTATTAATACTTGTGTGCCTGATTTTCTCAATAACCAAATAAAACTAGGTAATAATTAATTCTTTAGTCACAATGGATGAAAAGGAGTTTTTTTACTGAATTTTATATTGACAAAATTGATTTAAAAATTGATTTAAAAATGCTCCCAAATTGGATTTTCTTATCATAGAATTAATTAATCAACCAAGGATGTAGTAATATCTCATCCTAATCTGCTGTTATTTTAACTCGCATTCACGGTTTCTTTGATGAATGGGCAAAATCATGTTCTAATATCTCTCATACCGATTTGTTAGATGGTTAGTTGTATTATTATCATCAACAGCAAGCAGACGCTAATATTAGGTTATTAATCATAATCTTTGATTACTGGACTTAAGGAAGGAAAAAAAGAAAAGGCAACAATAAACTTTTGTTTCTTTGTTTTATTGTATTGTTACATGGCAAAAAAAAAACTGTAACCAATAATCAACTTTTAAACAACAAGGTAATAAATTTTGTTTCATTATTTACATTATTTATTATTCAGCATTACAAAAATGGAAATGAATTTTTTTTTTGTATATATATATAGGTAGGTGAATTACTTTCCAGGTTTAAAAAGAGAGTTGTCCTAATACCAAATACAATTAATTAAAAATATATATATTTGTTATATTTATATATTGATTATATAAATACTCCTCCGTCCATATATAAATATACATAAATATATATATTTTTAATTACTCTCATTCTTCATTCTAAAAAACCAAAAGGAAATCGCAGGTCGATTATATACACATTTCAGTTTTAACGACTACTACATTCCTTCTCTTATTATTATTAAAAACACCTTTTTGTTACTTTATATATATACATTTCTCAATAAAAAAAATTTTCAAACTTAAAATGGTTTCAGCTATCAATTACCTTAAAGCCAAACAACTCGACAACAACAAAAACAACAAGAAAAACAACAACAAAAACAACGACAACAACGACAACAATAATGATACTTATCCAACAATAACAATAATTGACTCGTTGAGTGTTCCTAATGACGATGAACCTACAAGAAAAAGATGCTTTATTATCCCTGAACGAGCTTTTATAGCAGTAATTTTCTCATTGAACTTGGTAAGTTAATTTATTTAAAATTAAAAAATGTTAAGAAATAAGTAACTATTTACTAATAATAATATTATTGTATTTAGTTCTTTGGAATATTGATCACTGCTGGTGCTTTCACGGGTTTATCATGTAAATTACTAATTTAAAAGATATTAAAAAATTTTTGTCTATTTAAAATTCTTTCATAAATTATCATGTAATAATCTTTTATCTCTTATTTGTCATTGTTTATTATAGTATCTTCCGATCCATCGACTCAAGCTCAATATGCAGTTTATGGTATTTCATATGCTTTCTTGGCTTTAACTGGTATTATTGGATTGACCGCATTGAGAAAAGTACGTAATATACGAAATAATATTTAGATTTTTTTTTTTTTTTTTTAAATCAAAAAAAATAACCATTATTGTCATAACCTTTATAGGAAAATGCAATCCTTATGCGTCGTTTATCAATTTCCTTTTGGATATTAACAGCTCTTTTGCTTATATTTAATGTCACAAGCTATATTATTAGAATTATATCTAAACCTGAATCTGTTCAAAGCTGCCAAACTAACCTGAATCAATTATATAGTGAAGATAAGCAAAAAGAATTGGATCTAAATTGTGACAGGATCGTAAATTACTCTTTGATTAGATCTGCTTTTCAACTTTTGTTCGTCGAAGCAATATCGGTAAGTTAACTAATAATTAATTTGATGATGTTGTTGTGGATGTGGCGTAGAATTTTATAAATTAATCAATTAATATCTTCATTTATTTAGATATATTTTGCTTATGCCGTTGCTTGTTACTCAAGAAAATTATTATCAAAACTTAAATTTAATAATCAAGGCAACACTAACAATGTATCAACATATAAAATTCAGACCACAAATCCTCCTCCCACATCTGATAGCTGGGTACCACCAAATTTTGGTTCGGATAATAAAATCTAATTAGTATTAGTAAAATAGATAGAAAATTAGTTGTGGATCCAATGGTTGGGAAATAATGTAAATTTTTAAAATAAAAATAATTTGGGGGATTTTTTATATATACCGTCGTGATCATATTTTATAATATTAATATATATTAATATCGTAATACTTTTGAAAAAATAATTTTTAAAATGCCTTCAGATGATATAATAAAATAATACATACTATATTATATATTGACAATGAAGAGACAAATTCAAATCCTTCATCAGAATCATATCCAAGTAGTGGAATATTTAACCCACCCTGTAAAAATCTAAACCTTAAAGATAACTTTATGAAGATGGAACATATCGAATTTGTCAAGCAAAAGCATCAATTTCTCTAGAACATCCAGAGTGTATATGTGATAAGTAAAAAATAATCATTGTTTCGATAGTTTTAATAATTAAATCCACAAAATATGAGTGTTGTAACATTCTTAACCACCGCAAATATTTGAAAACATTACGAATGCTCAAATACGAAAATTCGAAAATTCGAATGTAGTTATTATTATTATTGTTATTATTATCATGCCTAAAAACTTTCGAATATTCGAATCTGGATTAAGGTTACGAGCAGGAATACTAGATCATTGGAAAAAGCATCAATTAATGGTAACATCAACACGAAAACATTTTTTCATGGTGTTTAAGCCAAGTTTTATTTTAAAAAAAAACTCAATAAACAAATTCACATAATTTTTGCTTTTACATGTTTAGCGTATTCATTATTCATGCACCGTTCGGGTTGCGTATATCTTTCAATATAAACCATTTCCGAAAGTTTACTACAGACCGTCCATTCAACACCTTTTAATTATTTTTATATATAGTCAGGAGGAGCCTTTACATACCATAAAGAGCTGGAATACGGGGATTGTTATCGCACACTTTTATCAATAATGGTTCTCCAAAAAAAGAAAAATTGCTTAGAGAACGAGACTTTGGAACCAGTAAAGTATATATATTTTTTTTTTTCATTTTTAATAAAATTGATCATGCCGTATTATGAGATTTGGAAGCAAAATTCAAAAGTAAAATGCGACAACTAAAGGTGTTGATGGTTCTAAAACTGTAAATCCCGTTTATCATGCACTATTTTCTGAGGTTATTGATAGTGCAATTGCACTTAAAATGCTTTTTGGACCTGGGGAGTTGCTGTCACTTCTCTTGATGTTATCTTCAAAAATACTGGAAAGCCTGGTGATGTTACTCGTTGCTATAGTTGGAATTTGTTTTGTTCTGGAACTAAGATATTCAGAACCTAATCCGGCTGATGTTCTAAAAGGATACTTACCTAGTTCAGGAATCTTCACAGACTCTAGAAAATTGTACATTGCAATTGGTAATATTGGTGCAACAGTTATGCCTCACAATTTATATTTGCATCCACACTTGGTCAAAGTTAGAAAACATCGTGAGGAGTCAAAAGAAATTAATAACAAAGACAATAAATTGGAATCAGGTCAAGATATAGCATCAACAACATCAATATTCCAATCTATCGTTAGTCATGCAATAACATTCTCAACAATAAATTAAACGGCTGCATTAACTTTTGCATTTTTTGCCAATTCTTCAATTCTATATCGTGGCTGCTTCTAATTTCTTTTACAACGAATCAAGGAGCATTGAGGTGGCTGATTTGTTTGATGCGTTTGATTTATTAAATCAATACCTTTGAAGAACAGCTGGGTATATTTTTGCATTAGCACTATTGATTGCTGGTCAAAGTTCAACACTTACAGCAACAATTGCAGGCCAAATTGTTATGGAAGGGTTTTTAGGTTGGACAATAAGACCATGGTTAAGGAGGTTTCTCACAAGAATAATTGCTATAATACCTGCCGTGTTAATTGCCATTTTTAGAGGTGAAGAAGGATTGAACGAAATGCTGGTAGCAAGTCAAGTGGCTTTAAGTATTCAATTACCTTTTGTTGTTATACCTTTAGTCTATTTTACTAACAGCAGAAAATTGATATCAGAAAAGTATTTAACAAATCAAAATTAAATAATAATAATAATAACAATAATAATAATAATACAGATGGGCTACAACTACAGATTGATGATAATGATAACAATGATAATGATAGTAATGATAATGATAATATTAATAATAATAATGGCAGTAGTGATAATCCTGAGTCGATTTATTTCCTCAATTTTAAAAATACCATTTTATTAATTATAGTTTCATCTATTATTAGTTATATTATTTTGTTTTTAGATTTATTTTTGGTTTATAGTACTGTTAGAAATGCAATTGGGATTTGGACTAGGAAAATTAACCTCTCAGCTGATTTTTTTTATTTTGAGTTTTCTTACTTAATATTTATATAAGGGTTACAATTGGAGAAAAAATTGGATCTTGTTTGCATAGTAGAGGAATGAGATATAGAGCTTGGAATACTTTCTTAGCATATTAAAAACATGTATGTAACCAATTTTAAAAGGATTGTTAATAAAAATAGATTTTTTGTCTGAGGGGTCGATTTTCCTAGTCCAATTCCCAATTGAAGATGGTGATTAAAAGGCTGGAGTATATATATTTTTTTATTTATAGATTTTTTTGTATGTTCAAAATGTAATAATATATAATAAAATGCTATTATATGAAATATATTTAATGATTTTTTTATTATGATTTGTCAAATTTTACTATCTAGAGTTAGATCTTCCAAATCGACCACCACCGCCTCCAAATCTATTACCACCATCGCCGCCGCCTCCAAATCTGTCACCACCTCCAAATCTGCCGCCACCACCACCACCACCACCACCTCCAAATCTGCCGCCGCCTCCAAATCTGCCACCACCACCACCGCCTCCTCCGAACCTACCTCTGCCACCGCTTTGTCTATTACTACTGCCAAGTCCAATTTTTTCTAATAAACTGTCGCTTATTCTTGACTCGGTTCCAAAAGATCTAGCAAGTTCTTCAACTGCTGGTAATAAACTATTTTTACCAAATAAATGTGTACTGGATTTTCCTGCATCTGTTAAAGACAATAAAAATTATTCCCAATTAAAAAACAATAAAAAACCAAATCTCACATCTACTAACTATTATTGACACTATTACTATTACTATTACCACCGAATGAACAAAACACTTACAATATCCAAGGAAAGATCCACATGCAGAATGCACATCATCGGGATCAATCATATTGATGGTTTTTTCAACAGCTGCGTCAGGCTCAATTCCAGACATATTTAATTTTTCTATTGGCAAGTCCTTAATCTGAGATATGAATTTATCCTCAAATGGTGCCAACAATATAATACCTTCACCTTCTTTACCAGCACGACCTGTTCTGCCAAGCCGATGAATATATTGTTCGCGTGAAGATGGTGCACCTATCTGAAGCACCAATGTTACACCTGGATAGTCAACTCCTCGAGCAGAAACATCTGATGTAACAAGGATTGCATCACGAGAACATCTACGAAACCTCTCCGAGATTCTGGTTCTATAATCTTGTGTCTTCCCGGAATGAAGTTCAAACACTTCTAAATCTCGAAGACTTCGAATAAAACTTGCATAAAGGATGGTTTGTGATTTGGTTGGTAAAAACATTATTATTTTTGTATTTTGATGTAACAATTTATGATCAGTGATTATTTTACGAATGATGTGAAGTTGAGATGTGTATGGTGAGACAAGGTATGATTGTTTGACTTGAAGATTTGTGTTAACATCGTTTGGATCAACTGTATCAATAAACATGTGGTCTGGATTTAATGCAAACCTAGCAACTTGTCGAATTTCTTTCGACACAGTTGCTGAAAAGAAAAAAGTTTGACGCTCTTTTGGAAAACATGAAATAATGTCTTCAATTGCATCACGGAATCCCATGTCAAGTAATTGATCTGCTTCATCCAGTATAAGCTATCGAAAAAAATTTAATAGATAATGAGTGAAAAGTAATATAAAAATAAAGAAATTAATATATATATATATATATATACATACTGTTTTAATTCCTTGACATTGCCTGTTAAAAAATTTTTCGGTAGTTAACAAATCAAAAATTCTACCAGGAGTACCAACAACTATATCGACTCTCTTTTTCATTAATTTTGAAACTTGTGTCGTTCTTCTTTCACCACCTACTAAACAATGAACCTCAAATGGATGATAATATACAATTTTTTGTGCTTCAGTTGCAATCTGTTGTGCAAGTTCACGAGTAGGTGAAAGAATCATAATTGAGACTATTCTATCATTTCGGCCTTTACTATCAGTATTCCTAAGCATTGTTTCTATTGCTGGAATTAGAAAGGCCAGAGTCTTTCCAGTACCAGTCTTAGCCTTTACAAACATGTCACCTTCGATTGGTAACTGGGATAACACAGCATCTTGAACTTTTGTCATTGATTGATATCTAAACACTTCTTTTAAAGCTTTCATAGTATGTGGTGCGATTGATGTTATGTCTTCAAAGTTGGCAGGTACATATTCATTTCTTGATACAATTTGATCCTCATTCCTTTCTCTTCTTAATTCTGAATTATCAGATGGCCCTTTTCTCCTTACTTGGACCTGGACATTACGATTTTGAATCATTAATGCATTATTGCTATTATGATTGATGCTCTGTATAGAATTGAAAACACGACCAACATTTGATAGTTTGGTACGCCCACCACAACCAGTATTAACTAAATATCAACCAAATCAAAAAAAATGAAATTATGGTTCTTTTTTTTTTTTTTTTTTTTGGAAAAAAAATACTTTGGAACTTTTTAATATAAAAAGTTAAAGCATTAAACAAAAAAAATGATAATAATAATAACACTAACGGTTCCTTATTTGTGATATTTTGATGGTTTTCCACAAGTTACATCTTATACTTCTAAAGAGTGTTTGTGCAGACATTTTTTTTTATAAACAATTAGGTATATATTTTTTTTTTGATGAGTCGTCACCACTCTGATTTCTTATCGAGATTTAAAAAAAAAATTTTTGAATTTAATTGGTAAAATTTTTGAATATCAAATAAAATATCACCCGGAGCCTCCCTATTCACACCCTAAATTTTCCATTAATATTCTTTAGAAAGAGGAACTTTTTTTTTTAAAAAAAAAGAATAATCAGGATGTTAATCTTGAGTCCTAAAATAAATTTTAATGTCTGTCTGTTTAGGGTGGTTTCAGACATTGTTTGTGTTGCCTCCATGTTCCACGTACATGGAATCTTTTCAATAGAAAGAGAGGGACCCAACCTACTCTAAAAGCGATTCTATATATAACTTGTCACGAGAAATATTTTCAACTTAGAAACCACACCCACTTTACACGATAAAACTTTGCTTTAAGGAATGCAGATCTTTTTTCAATGTTGATCTCTTTTTCTATCGGAAGGATTCCACATTTGTCTTGTTTTAAAAAAAATGGAAGATACTCTGGTAAAGGGTAAAGAATCTATTGAATTTATAAAATTGTGGACAATGGAATGAATGCATCAAAGCCTAGTAATATTGGTAGAACTGTCGAGGATATTTTATACTTGCATGTTGTTGGTTTTCACTGTCTACCACTAGTAAATGCATTGTAAATAGCTTGACACATTCTTTTACCGTTGATTTAAAGGATAGTCAAGCCGAACCCGTGAACTTTTTTCTAAGATGAAATAGACGAATTGGAATCAGGAATGAACTAGAACTAAGAATTGTATTAATTCATATGCAACAGTACATTCTGTTTTACGCAAATGGTTAATTTTCGGTCACCCTAACACAACAAACAATACACACGGAACCTGAGAAATTTGGAAGTTGATTGAGGGCTATTATGACATTAAAGAAGATTTTACTGTTAGTATTATTGGTGCAATTACTTTACTATGATTTTTATCAATCGTAGCATTGGATGGAATATATCAATACTAACTTTTGTTCATTCATCTACACGAATTGGAATTATCACATGAAAAAATTCGAGAAAAAATTCAAAACAAAAAATAACACAGTAAAATATATTTTTTTAACTTTGTATATATAAATAATTTTCTTTAAGGAATTAAACAATTATTAATGAAAACAACTAATTATAAAAATACAATTTATAATATGCAAGTTATTACTTAAACCCTACAAAATACTGCAATGAAATAGGTCAGAGCAATTCAATTAACAATTGATACAATGAAATATAATAAATAGTTTACTTAAAATTAAATATTTTGATCTTATCTGTTTCATTCTAATTCATCTATGTCATTCCCATTGTGAAGGTCTTGAACTTTTTGAAAAATTGATAATAAATGGGTTTTACTTTTTGTCCTAAGCCCCCTGAATTGTGGTCAATCAATTTCATTCAAAGATCCATTAATGTTTCAATTACATGCAATAGTTCATCTTTTGTCAATGAACTAGCTGTTGATTGTTTTTCTTCTTCTTCTAATGTAACAGGAATAGGGTGAAATTTTTCTAATGACTTAGGCTTAGCTTTCCTTTAATATAATCCTGGTGACAATTCCAAGCCGTTGAACTAAACAATTTCATTGCTTCACTTAATTTGTTCCCATCCAAACTCTTAAAAACAGGTATATTTTTAGATGGATTAAGGAAATCATTATTTCCCAATTCTATTTGAAAGCACTGTGATTCTTTCTCAAAATCATAATATCAAGTTTTTCCTCTTTTGTTTTTTCCATGATATCGAGTTTTTCTCTTTCTTTTTTTTCCAATAATTTTATATTTTGTATGCTGGATTTGGTTTGAATTGCAAATAAGTATTTATAGATTATTTCCAATTTTCTTGGCTGATCAGAAAATTCAGACGTTAGGGGAGATAAGTCTATTTCATTCATAATTGATATTACAGTTTCATTCGTGTCATTCGTGTTATTTATGTGATTTGCACCATTGAGAGAAGACGATATCCAACGTTGCAAGTACCAAGGACGGTATTTCTGTAAATGATAGTCTATGTTTAATGTTTGTTCAACAATGAGAAAAGCAAAAGATGAAGGGCATGAACACAAACCACTGCTTTCTTGGTCATTATACTCAATTGTTTTAAATAATTTTTTTCAAAGCTGATGATGGCAAGGAAATTTGTAAAAACTTGTATTATTGTTATTAAAAATTATATTAAAATCAGTAAATGCTAATTACTTACCTTCAAAAACTTGGTGCAATTCCTTGCAGCAATCTCCCAATGTCTGAGTTGGCACAGGTGGAACAAAGTGCCTTTAGTGTTTTGTTTATCTCTTCAAGTATTGCATCTAACCCTTGATGTTGATTAGACCATCCTGATTTTGAAACAGCAGAATTTTGTTCAATAGCTGGTGAATTTCAGGATGAAGATGAAGTAATTGTTCTTCATAAGCAACTTCAATTGAATAATAAATGGGATGTCATCTTGCTGACCAAATTGGAGCAAAGGCCCTTCATGCTGCTGCTTTCAATAGTGGTAAGTTGTCTCTTATACTGGTATGATAATTGATTACAGCTTGCAAATACAAAAAAATCTTTGATGATATATGGTTAATCAGGTTGTAAAATTATCATTGAGTTATTTTGCAAATATTAATTATTTGCCTGTTCATATTTTAACTTATACAATTCATCTTTTTGGTTTTTAGCCCAATTGAGATATCCATCACATCAATGCAAGGTTCAGAAACAGATGCAACATAAGGCCACACCAGTTCCATTGCCATTGCATGTCAGTATATATTACAAATTGAATCCCATGCTTTGTGATGGTCTGCGCATTTTTTATAATATCCTAATTGTTTCTCATTATGAAACCCTTGACATTGTGCAAAATGTTTTAAATCAATATTCCTAAAATCAAAAAGAGTATTATTGTAAAAATAAATTATAATTCAACTTAAATAGCACTTGTAACTATTACAAAACTTGCCAGTTCAATTCTACAAAAGCTTTTAACATATTCATTTCTTCATGAAGTGGCCTGGGTATCAAGATAATCCCAGGATAATCATTTTTAAATTTTGTGCATAATTGTATGGAACGCCATCACAAACTACTGGAATCTGCTTGCACTAACCTTTGTTGATTCCACTAATTTCTTGAATATGTTCTAATACTTCACGAACATTTTCAATTGAATTAGGATTTAATGGCAAAGGGTCTGGAACTAAAATCTCAGGCACCTTAACATCTCTTTGGGGTGGTGACTTTTGAGTTATGCTAATTGGATTTGCATAAGAATCCAAGTCCTCTTTTTGAACTTCATAGAACTTGATATTTAAAGGCTTGACAGTATTTTTCTCAAAAGTTTCTTGTAAAATTTCCTCCTGTGTTACTTTTTGTGTTCCAGCAAGAGTAGGTAATTTTGCATTGCATGTAGGGCAAATACGTTTTGTATTTAAAATTCCTTCCTTACCACCTTTTTTTGACTATCCATTGTCGCATAATGTTTAACTACCAAATCATCAATAAGATTTGTGTCACCATTTTTTTCTGCTAATATAATGGCTAGATAATCATTTAATTCATTATCAAGTAGCTCTTGCATTGCTGGTGTAATATGATAAAGTTCTTCTATTTGTAATGTATCTAAAGTATGATATAACCAAGGCTCTTGAAGCATCTGTTTCTGATCAGTAGTATCAAAATTAAATGTAAGGAAACTTGTAACTGTATGAAAAGTTACGGTGTTATGGCCATGATCTAAATAGTTTTTTGCCATTTTTGTTCATTATCAAAGGCCAAAAATAATAAGCCTTTAGGAAGTTGCATCGGCTCACCAGCTAAATTTTCTTGCCATTTGAGAAATTTGAAAAAGCTACCAGAACTCAAAAAATGGTCATCAATATCTACTATTTAATTGCAGATGATGCTAAATTGATGGCAGAAACATATTTTAAATTTCTCGCTCCATAGATAGCATTCACTGCCACAGAACACTTAAAAAGTTTTTCTCCCTCAAGTTGGTTTTCATTCTCATTACATATAACAGTTTTTATGAATTCTATGACAACTGGATTTCATTCAGCCAGCCATTCAAAAGTTGAATAACCTAAAAGGTTATCCAAACTAAATCTTTTCTGATCACTCATTAAATTTATAATATCATCATATATATTTTTACATTCTCTTTTAGCAATTCTCTTACAAATTCAATTCTTGTTTGTTGATCATTAAATGTATTATTAAACTTCTCTTTCAATTCTTGATTTTCAGATATTAATATTGAATTTTGTAATTTTAGTTCATTTATTCTTCATTGATGCTCTCCTATGATATTAATATATTCTATTTGTTGAGCCTCAAATTGGTTTAATTGTTCCTTTATTTTTTCCAATTCTAAAAAAAGATTTGCATGGTGTTGGTTCTGTTTTTGTGTAATTTTTGCATATTCATCTATTCTTCGTTGATATTCTTCTATAGTATTAATATATTTTATTTGTTGAGCTTCAGATTTGTTTAACTCATTCTTTATTTTTTCTAATTCTAGCAAAAGGGTTGTGCAATGTTGGTCCTGTTCTTGTACAATTTTTGCACCTTCACCTTCATTTTCATCTTCATGACATCAGGAAATTTTTCTGACATGGATTTACATAATTATTACACTATTTATGTAAGTTTATGGCAGGCCTGTAATATTATGCAAATAAGCATACAAAAATTATGCAATTATTACATCAAGTATGAATATTACATAATTTTTATGCAAATATTACAACGTTACATATTAAAATTTGTAATATTGCAGCAGGGAAAATTTCCTGATGGTCATCAGTAGTTATTATTTTAAATCGTTTTGGTTGGTCTTCTCTTGAAAAACTAGAAATAAAACCATCCTTTGCTTTTAATTTTTCAAGAAGAATATTAGAAGTAACAATTTGATTGTAATGTCTAACACAAATTGAATAATTATCTAAAGATGGAATTAATAAAGATAATTCATAAAAATACTTAGCAAATATTTTTACACATTCAGCTGCTTTATTCCCTGATGCCCATCTCCAATACTTCTTGTCATGGTTAACATCATCACATGGTCTTAACTCATATTGCAACCAATTTCATGAAGATAATTGTGAACGTTCAATAGTGCCTTTATTAGCAAGGGAATCATATATATCTGGAAGATTTGATTCATTTATTAATGAAGGGCATGACATTGCTCAGGATATAATTAAACATTTGTAAGTTGTTTTTATCTAAAGCCATCTTTTTTGTCTTTGAGATGACTAATACTAACAACATTAAATAGTTCCATTAGATTAGAGGCACCTGCACACAGAGAATCAAGATCAGAAGATCTAGAGCGGACATTTGGTATTGATACAACTGTATACATATTTAATAGATTATTCAGGATGCATTTAGATGTCTTGGACTGGGGATGGTATATATGCAACCAATATGAAAAATAACTTTTGTAATTTTAATATGTAATGTATTTATATTGTCAATTTAACCCTTTTCTTTTAATTTAGGGTTGAACTTACTACAGCCGACACAGGTAGGGTTTGTATTCATGAATATCATAAGGGGGTCACACAGGGTCACACACTATTAAAATCAAGTGATCAACTCATGTTTTTAAGGGATTTTTTGCTGTTTTAATAGTGTGTAATCCCCTTAATGATATTCATGATATTCATGAATAAAAACCCTAGACACAGGTTCACAGAAAATTATCAAATTCCTGGTGCTAAAAAAAAAGATGAAAATAATATCATAATCATTGAGCTCTCAAAAGGCAGAAAAGCTTCACCTGGGAAGGAAATTGATGATAAGATCAAGCTTGCAAGAAATTCTATGAGAATAGTTAATAAGCTCTCTGAAAAATATCCAGTTTATATTACAAAAACATATACAATTCAGTGTGCAGGTAAATGTCATGGTAAAATTATTCAATAAAAAGTTTCTTGTTGTTAATATAGTTATAATTTTTTAATAGATGGCATTATCCATATCCGATATATGATGAGACCACTTCCTTGTATATATCTGTATGAAGAATTTGGATCAATAAAAATCCCAACATCATTTAATGCAGGGTTGGCAAATTGACTGGTCCATTGAGAACAGATGGATTTTGGACTGGTCCATTGCCATTAATAAAATACTAAATATGGTTAAATTGTTACACTAATGGACCCAATGGACCACCAATAGACCATCAATGGACCACACATTTGCCAACCCTGATTTAATGATATGGCACAATTGGCAAAAGATATAAGAATTTTAATGGATTTTCAAGTAAGAAATTAATGGTGAATTTTTTATGAAGTTTTATGGATTCTCTTTAATAGTACTGATGATCCTTGACCTTATAGAGTGATGTTCTTTCAACAATCAGAGCCTTCAACAATTCAAAAGGCATTACACAAAAAAATGTTTATAAAACACAAGTCAAGGA